GTCTCACGGTCTCTCCTGCCCGGGCTGGCTTTGAACCTCGATCCTCAGATCTCAGCCTCCTGAGTAGCTAGGATTACAGGCGTGAGCCACCAGCGCCTGGCGTCTGTGAGATTTTTATTTCCAATAAATTACTCAGAAAAAGCCAGTGACTCAAATGGTAATGGGCTAGCCTTGAACAAAAGAAGCTCAGGAGACAGTGCCAAGGCCATGAGTTCAAGCCCCAGGGCTGGTAAAAAAATAAAAATTAATTAATTAATTAGCTTCTGCAATTAAATTAGGGTGTGGGAATCATGCAGTCATTATTTGCTTTTAAAAAAAAGTAATCAGAACTGTACAGTGACACTTGCCTGTAATGCTACCACTGGAAAGGCTGAGGTAGGGAGGCTGGAGAGTCTGAGGCTAGCTTGAGCTATACAGAAAGACCTATCTTAAATGGAAAGAAAAGGAAGAAAGGCTTAAAGGAAGGGAGGGAAAGAAAGAGGGAAGGAATGATGAGGGAAAGGGGAAATATCTCTAATCCAGAACACCTCATGCATACATTTCAGGATGAAAGAGAAGTATAAAATCAGATGAAATACAACTATCAAGAGGCTGGGAATGTGGCTCAATGGTAGAGTGTTCGCCTAGCATGCATGAAGCCCTGGATTTGATTCTTCAGTACCTCATACACAGAAAAAATCAGAAGTGGGGCTGTGGCTCAAGTGGTAGAGCACTAACCTTGAGCAAAAGAGCTCAGGGACTGTGCCCAGGCCCTGATTTCAAAGCCCACGACTGACAAAAATAAAGACTTTCCAAAATATACAATTTTGATCATTGTAGTTACTAATTAGAAGTTGCCCAAGAATTCATGACATATAGCTACTTCAATTAAAGAGGATATTCTTGCAAAGTTTCAAAGTCAACAATGTCAAATCATATAATTTGAGTGCAAAGAGTTATGTAAGCTGTTCAACCCCAGCACATCTCTGACAGAAGAGTAAGAGAGACAGTAGCACTGGAACCCAGCTTCTCCTGATAACCGAGTTCTTTCTATTGACAATTTATTACCAATCATCAATTCTATCATGTTGGTCCATTTCTAATCAAAAAATACAAAAATCCTGTCCTTCCTAGACACAATAATCTCTGAATAGTTAAAACCCCCCATAGAAGTCATGCTTCAAATTAAATGAAATCTCTTTTCTTCAATGATTTATATCATCTAACCCTTCCAACCCTGATTTGAGAAGGTGGCTTCCCCCCCCCCCAACCTAGAGTTTTCCTTCTCCACCCACAATGTAAAAATTCCAGATCTGTGAGAGAACTGAACAGATTGAGAAATGATTTAAGCAAAGCATCAAAACACTGAGATTCAAAGACAGTATGTCCAAGATAAAAGTGATTCTGGAAGCTTTTAGTTGAGATATCGAAGACTTCCCCCCACACGCAGGGAAATGAGATGGAAAACGGGAAAGGACTTGGCCCAGCATCCTCGGGTTGATGTCAGAGCGTGACGTCACAGTATGTCATCTTGGTTTGCGAGAACTACTCTTTCCAACCTCAGTCACCTGTCAGCTTGTCCAAAATGGCTGCCATTGCTCCAGCCTGGAGAGTCTACTCCAGTTGTCCTGGGGCAGGGCCTGAAGAAGGAATAGTTTAACAAGTCCCTAGTACACAAAGAATTAAAGAGAACCCCTCTTACTAGACAAGGTTCCAAAGGTGTCAGTCAGGAGCTCAGAAAACTTTTAATTCATTCAGGAGCTCAGGAATCTGTCAAAAACCTTGCATCATCCAAACCAGCTATTCTGGAATTTCCAGAAGCAGAGTCCTTTGGTGGGGATTTGCACTCCCACCCAGCTTGGGAATAAAAGAGAGGGGGGGAAAAAAAACCCAGCCTTGTGGCCTTACCCATGTCATCCTAGCTATTCAGGAAGCTGAGATCTGAGGATCACAGTTCAAAGCCAGCCCGGGCAGGAAAGTTTGTGAGACTCTTCCAGTTAACCACCAAAAGACGAAAGAAAAAGTGCAAGTGGAGCTGTGGCTCCAATGGTAGTGCACACAGCCTTGAGTGAAAAAAGCTAAAAAGGCAGCGTGCCCGGGCCCTAAGTTCAAGTCTCCACCCCACCCCAAGATCGGCTCCAAACAAACAAAGAAAGAGAAAAGGAACTCTCTGGGGCTCCAGCTTTTTGTCATCGGTTATATTTAATGGGGCTGTGCCCGCTTTGTCAGGCAATGTAAATGTGAACAGCCCAGAAGAGGGAGAGGGAGAGAGAGAGAGAGACAGACAGACAGACAGACAGAGAGACAGGGGGGGAGGGAGGGAGTCACACAGATCAACAGTGCCACAGGCAGTGTGGCCAGACCTTCAACACCACCTCTATCTCTCCCCCCTCCTCCATGTCTCTCCCCTCTCTTCTCTCTCCTCTCCCCCCTCTCCCTTCTCTCCTCTCCCCCCTCTCTCCTCTCTCTCC